AAGCTGGAGACTCAGCTTCACCTAAATTTTGTGGAAATACTGCTCTGTCCCTGCCAAGTGCTCTCCCAAGATGGGGTAATTGCATGGAAAAAGCAACACTTAAAAGCCTCTAAGAAAAAAAGAGGATCTTACAGCATTTCCTTGGGACTAAACTCAGATCTTTCCCGTATCTATTTCACATCCAGTAAACGCACTGGGTCCTGGACTGCTGTTATCGCTAAGTCCCCACTGGTGGCTCTAACACTGGCTGCACAGTGGATGCTGTAGAGCTGCTCCTGAAGGTCTGTTTATGGTGGCTGTGGGAGGCCCCACAGTGTAGTTTACAATTTTCTATCTAATGTTCAACATTACCTCCATATGAGTACTTTTGTTCTTTAATATTTTGTGGACAAATTCTATAAAGGTGTGTTAGTTGTATCTCACTTGGTTTCTTAATGTCTATTGTTTATAACATACTATCTTATGATCATAAGTTACAGAGAAAATATGCACTTTTTGCTGTCCATGGTATGGTTCAGCTGGTGCAGCCTTCCTACTACCAGATGTCTCCATAGATTCTTGTGCACCTGTGAGTGGGACTCTTGGAGGGTGCCTGATCAGGGGTGTGTGATGCTGGATTAAGGGTGTAGCATGGATGGAATAAAAGAGAAAGGAAAGTGTCTCAGTTCCTGTTTCAGCACTGGAGCAAAGTAATTGTTACCTTCAAGTGAAAGGAGAAGAGGTTGATGTTGGTTCACAACTTGTACAGGCTTCGGTCCACAGCCAGCTAGCTCCATAGCAGAGGAACACAGCAGAAGAGGCATGCAAGAAGGGGGCCACAAGCAGCACCACTGCTTCTTTCACTTCCTTTGTATTCATTTTGCTGGGCTGCTTGCTCCTGATTCTCAGGATACAGCTGTCTAAAAGCAGAAGTAGGCACATCACTACCTGAACCTGAGATTGCCTTGACATTTCTTCCGCCAGGTTAATTTGTCCACTGGTCTTAAACTCAATCTCCTGCACTATTTGACATGCTCAAAATTTAGGCAAATATTCTGCCAGAGCATTACGCACATGATGAGGAGTACAACTACCAATGCAGTACGTCTTCCCAGTGGGAACCTCCTAATCCTTACCAGCGGCATTCCTCTCTGCATTCTGGGCTTCTGAGCACTGTCCAGAATCTCATATCAATCATAGCTCCCAGCATTCTAGGGATGCATCCCCAGTCAGCACCCAAGCCAGTTCTAAAAGCTTCTTAATCATGTAGCCAGATGGTATTGCAGAAATAGCCCTACTTGTGGTAACAAAATCCATCTTTGTTACTTATCCATTTCAGTCCACAGTCAGTTGTTCCTTGGGCACAGCTTTATGGCAATAAAGAGCCTGTGGCATGGTGGGAAGGTGGCAGCAAGGAGTAGCCTTTCTTCTTTTATTCCATTTTTATTCTGTCGAAGCTTCAAGCCCATTGGTTGGTGCTACTCACACCAAAAGTAGGTCTACTGTTGTTATGGTTTGTGTCTAGTTGTTTCCCAAAGCCTCATGTAGTCATGGGGCAGACTTATAAAGTCTGTGATGAACTCATGATCCACTGGGATTATGGGTGTGAGTGCTGCTGGGATTACAGGTGTGAGTACTATACCTAGTCTAGGGCAGATAGCCTGAAGGCAACATAAGGGAGACAGACTTGCTCCCTGTAGCCATTATTGCTACTACTCCTCCATTTTGCTCTTGCTCTTTGCCACTGCCATGAAAGGCTACTGTCTGCCATGTGCCTCTCTAACTTGGAGCCTGCTGAGTATGGACTGAAACCTCAAATAACTAAGCTAAATAAGTCTTTCCTTTCTTATTCTGGGTTGGTCAGGTATTTGTCCCAGCAACGAGAGAAGAGAAACTGAGACAACTGTCTTCGGGAAGTCCATTCAATTATACCTGAAACCATGCTAATCTAACTAATCCAGTTACTACATACCCTAATTCACCATCACACAACCAGGACCCAACCACTTCCCAAACCCCCAGTATTTGGGAAATATTGAGGTTCAATCCATCACAGAACATTCACTACTTGCCCCTTCCTCCTACCCTGCCAATGACTGCTTCTCCTCTGCCATCTGCCACTGCCAACCCATCCTGTCTTTGAACCAGCTGATTGCAGACTGAAACCTCTGCAAATTGTGAGGTAAAACAAACATTTTTTTCTCTTTTAACATGTGGGTGTTGAGTATTTCATTCCAGCTACAAGAAAGTAACTAAGGCAATAGCCAATAGAGTTAGAAAACATTCAGCGTAATGTACTCAGTTCTTAATGTGAAATGCTGGAGGTTGCTGTAGCCTCAAAGGAGTGGACTAGGGTTAGAGACTGTAATGCATGTTTCAGCTCTGTCCTGTGTACCCAGGAGGTCACAGGCCAGCAAATGAAACTTCCAGTCACCATTTTCCTCAATGATAATCAATACTGCACTACCAACACAAGAGGAGTAATTGTAAGAATTGATTTTTAAAATTGAGTCTGGGGTCTGATATCCATTAGGCACTAAATCAGTAACAGTCATTGTTTTTGATATTGTCATTATGCTGCAGAAATGAGGTTCTCTAAAATTACAGAGAAAAATACACAATATAATTTGATAAAATCTATACCAGTGACCACACAAAGACCCAAATGATAAACTCTTTCCTTGGAGCATTCTGGGGAGGGGGCAGAGGGCCGCTGGGCCCAGGTGAGATGTCAGTGAGGTAAAGGCTTCTCTGGAGCCTCTGGAGGGAGGGGTTAGGAAGACAGGACGGCACAGTGTGGCAGCACTGCCAGGTCGGTAAAGGGGCAGTTACACCTGACCCTGGCTTCCACTAGCCTGTCTAGGAAGCAGGTTTCCCTACCAAGAATTTTGGAGGTCAAGGACAAAAAGACCAAAATGCCCCAAAATATGGCATTAACAAGCAGAGATTTGTAGCTAGGAAACAGGGAAGGTGACTCTGGATGGAAGATGATGAAGGAAGTAGAAGAGATCAGGCTGGACCAATCTACAGGACTCCTCCAGAGCAGGCTATGGTGAGCAGACTCCCCTGGCAGAGTGTAGGAAGCCAGGCTGGATAGGGAGGGTGATGGGATCGCCAGGCTGTGGTGAGCAGCTTCTTCTTCTTCTTCTTCTTCTTCTTCTTCTTCTTCTTCTTCTTCTTCTTCTTCTTCTTCTTCTTCTTCTTCTTCTTCTTCCTCCTCCTC